TATGAATGGAAAGGAGGGAAAATCAAAACTTTCGAACATTGGCGAAAAACCAGGAATGAACAATGGAAAAATCAGTCGCAATGGAAAAACAAAAGTCGTGGAACGTTGAACGGCAGCATACGCGAGGAAGTGGAAAAGAAGCTGTGAAGGATGAACCTTATTGATTGTATGCTTGTGTCGCGAGAAAGACCAAAGGTGCTAGGAGAAAGACAAGAGGAAGCAGGGAAACCTTGTTGATTGTATGTTTGTGTTGCAATGAAGTGAGGTATAATTGAAAAGAGTGGGAAAACCTTTTTAACATATTGATATTTAATTAGTCCAATAGGTGAAGGATAGGTGGATGTGAAGAATTTTCAGCCATGTAAAAGAATAGAGTATGTTAATTACATTGATAACCTTGAGTAGGCATATTTGTTTTAGGTGTGAAGGGTATAAATGGAAGAATGCTGACAATAAATAATAATAGATAAATAGTTGATTTAAACACAAACGTGCGTACCACGTAGTATCCGTACAAACTCACGGGTATCCCACTCGTCGTATAAATTCGGTAGCACTTGCACGTATGCGTAAACAAGTGCATTGTAAAAGAATAGAATATGTTAATTACATTGATAACCTTGAGTTAGGCATATTTGTTTTAGGTGTGAAGGATATAAATGGAAGAATGCTGACAATGAATAATAATAGATAAATAGTTGATTTAAACACAAACGTGCGTAACACGCACTATCCGTACAAACTCACGGGTATCCCACTCCTCGTATAAATTCGGTGGCCCTTGCACGTATGTGTAAACATAGGGGTGTTCATGGGTGCGGGTCGACCCGCAAACCCGCCTACCCAAACCGAACCAACCCACTAATTACCCGGACCCATTCATTTACGGGTATACCCGACCCAACCCGTAACAACCCGTATAGATTTGGTTCGGGTATTGGGTTTTAGTTTCTAAACCCATGAACCCGTTGACCCAACCCGTTGACGTGGCATAATTAATTATTATTATTATTATTATTATTATTATTATTATATTATTATTTATAAATTTTAAAGTTGCTATAACTTTGTAAATTGTAACGTACACAAAGATCTTTTGCACTTTCCTTCCAGTTTCCAATCACACATTAAATTATTATTATTATTATTATAATTAAACATTATTATTAATATTAGTCATGCTTGCTTGACTTATGCACTTCTAGTTTACACTTTACTGCCTTTTTATTTTTTTAATGAATCTTTATTAACTAATAATAATTAAGTATATATTAGAAACTTACTAAACTAAAGACAATACCACTTAACCTAACCCTATTTTTTTACTACGGCAAATCTCAAACGTCACCACTCCTCTTTCTCTCACGATTTTTTTTTCATTTTACTCTCTCACATTCCAATTCCATCTTGCTTTCGAAAATCCACAGTCTATACTTTGACTCTCTCATAGTTTCGTCTCCATATGGAATAAGGTTTTATACTTTTTATAGTTCTACAATATATTTATTTCAATGCAATATATTGTTTTTACAGTATGTACTTTAATAGTTTTATATCAATGCAAAATATGATGATAGGTTCAATGTAATATACTATTTTGTTTCATATGATGCAAAGTACTATTTTGTTTCATATGATGAAAATATATTTTGATGCAAAGTCCTGTTCTGTTTCATATTATTAATTTAAATATATTTTGTTTAATGTTGTTTTAATAATAATTTATATTAAAAATCACAAATTGTCAGTGAAGATGTTGCTCATCCACTTGAACAAGAGCAAGAAGTTCAACAAATACAAGGAGAAGGGTTGTCATCATTGCCACCAAGTGCACTAATAGAGGTAAGCAAAAGAAAACCCTCTAGAAAACCTTCTACAGTTTGGAAAGATTTTAAAAGGGTTAATGATAAGGCTATATGTAAGTATTGTGGGAAACAATATGCTGCAAATAGTGGTAGCCATGGCACTACTAACATGCATAAACATTTGAAAGTGTGCCTGAAAAATCCAAATATGGTAGTTGATAAGAAACAAAAAACTATAGCTATTGGAAAAGAAAGTGAGGATGATCCTAATAGTGTTAGCTTGAAACTTGTTGATTTTAATCAAGAGATGACTAGATTAACACTTGCAAAGATGATAATCATTGATGAGCTCCCTTTTAAATATGTTGAAAATGAAGGATTTAATATGTTCATGAAAGAGGCTCAACCAAGATTCAAAATTCCATCTCGTGTCACTGTTGCCAGAGATTGTTTATGCTTGTACTTCGATGAAAAAGAAAAATTGAAATCTATGTTGTCTGCTAATAAACAAATGGTGTCTCTTACCACTAATACTTGGACATCGATTCAGAATATGAATTATATGTGTGTTACAACTCACTATATTGATGACGAGTGGAATTTAAAGAAGAGTATATTAAGCTTTGGTATAATTGCTGACCATAAAGGTGAAACTATAGGGATAACATTAGAGAATTGCATGAAGGAATGAGGTATCAAGTCTATATGTTGTGTGACTGTTGATAATGCAAGTGCTAACAATTTGGCAATTGATTATTTAAATCGAGGCATGAGTTTTTGGAATGGTCGTACTTTGTTTAATGGGGAGTACTTGCATATGAGATGTAGTGCTCACATATTAAACTTGATTGTCAAAGAAGGAATAAAGGATATTGATGAATCTGTTAAAAGAATTAGGGCTGCATGTAAGTTTGTCAAGGCTTCTCCTAGTAGGTTGGCTACTTTCAAGAAGTGTGCAGAAGCTGTTGGTGTATGTTCTAAAGCATTGGTAACACTAGATGTAGAAACCAGATGGAACTCTACTTATTTAATGTTGAACATCGCTGAAAAGTATGAACATGCATTTTACCGCTTAGAACATGCTGATGTTGCATTTTTAACTAATCTCCGTATTGAGTCGAAAGGATGTCCTAATCGAGCTGATTGGGAACGAGCTCGTATTTTTGTGAAGTTTTTGAAAACTTTTTATGATGCCACACTTTCTTTTTCTGGGTCATTGCATGTTACTGCTAACTCTTTTTTCAAACAGTTGATGGATATTAAAAAAACGTTGAATAAATGGAGGCACAATGTTAGTGATCCAATTTTGAAAACCATGACAGCAAATATGCAATTGAAGTACAACAAGTATTGGGAAAGCAATACAATAAATTATCTTCTCTTTGTTGCTATTTATCTTGATCCTCGTTATAAGCTTGATTATATTGAATTTTGTTTTACTCGGATGTATGGTGAAAAATTGTCAAAGGATATGTTAAAGAAATTGAAATCTCTCATTGCTAAATTGTTTGAGCACTATTTATTTTTGTATCCTGTTTCTCATGATGGTGGTTCCAATGCCTCATCTTCAAACATTGCCTCTCATTCTAGAATTGAAAAAGGTGAAGATGATGAAGATTGAGACAATTTGTTTAGAATGAATATGAAGAAAAAACAATGTGAAGTGCAAAAAAAATGAGTTGGAAAGGTATTTGGAGGATGGTGTTGAAGATGATTCTCCTACATTTAATATTCTCACTTGGTGGAAAGGAAAAACAAATAAATATCATGTGCTTTCCCGCATAGCTAGAGATATATTGGATATCCCTGTATCCACTGTATCTTCTGAATCCGCTTTTAGTACAGGAGGTCGTGTCCTTGATTCATTTCGTAGTTCCTTGAATCCCTCTACCGTTGAAGCTTTGATTTGTACTCAAAATTGGATCAAATCTCCTAAGGTCATTGATTTAGAAAAAGAGTTGGTTGAATTGGAAAAGGTTGAGTCAGGTATGAATTATATGTTTGAATTTTAAAATCTATTTTATTTTAGTATTACATTACATTATTCTTATTAGTTGTTTGTGTTTACATATATAGAGTTAGCTGGATTAGTTTCTATTGATGTTGGCATTACTGCGGTTGAGCTCAATACAACTGTTACTACTAGATTTTAAGGTATTTTCTAGTGTTGTTTTTTTTTCTTCTTCTTTTGACTATTGTTGCTTAAACTTTTAACTATTGTTGCTAAACGTTTCATTGTTGTTGCTGGAATCTTTTACAGCTACTGTTGCTGGATTTTCTGTTGTTGCTAAACCTTTCACTGCTGGTGTTAGAATCTTTTATAGTTGCTGTTAGATTTTGGTGCTATTAGACCAATATTGGACCAATACATCTATGTCATTTTAAGACTAAGTGATGTTTATTTGCTTTTGAATTATTTAGAATTTATGAATTTTATGGAAATGATATTTTATGGAATTTTATATATTATTAAGTGTTAATATATATGATAGTTTACAGACCTACTTTTAAGCATGTGCTAGAAAAGGTAACATTTGAGTATCAAAACAACTAATATATACGGTATATTATTATATATTTGTTTTATATATGTTGATATATATTTGTAATGGATAACATTTGAGTATCAAAATAACTAATAAATTTTTATAAATTAAGGTATATTAATGAAAATATATAAATAATTAATGGTGGATATGTATCTTAATATTTTTTATGACAAAGAAAATACATTTCAAAATTTTAATTGTTATATTTTTAATTATTCTATTTTATATGTAGGACTTGTCTCCACTGCGTAAATAATTTAATTGTTTGAAATATGCAAAATTATATTGAATTGTGTTATAGATTTTTTAAATTGAAAATAATAATTATTATATACACAACCCGTTGACCCAACTCTACCCAACCCGTAAATATCCGGGTTTATTCGGGTTGGTTTTTAAAGTAGAATTACGGGTTTGATGATAAACCCAACCCATTGAAAATTGAACGGGTTGGATAACGGGTTAAGGCGAACCCGGTCCAACCCAACCCGCGCACACCCCTACGTAAACAAACAGGCAGATAAATCATTCACGTGTCTTTCTTCTACTTCCACTTCTTAGGTTTCACTCGCAATTCTTCGTACTGTTTCTCCCAATTTTCTATTTCCTCCGCCACCTCTCTCTCTCTCTCTCTCTCCAATCATCCATGGACGCTCTCGATTCGAACCCTCCCATCGATCTACCTCCACAAAACGACACCACATCAGATTACCACAACCAATCCCAAACCCTTATTCCTGAAAACGGCATCAACGGAAACTCATCTGAAAACGACCAAGCCGCCGCTGCCGATAACAATCCACGTCCACGTATCACAAATCCGCTTCTCTCCGAGAATGGTTTGACCGGCAACACCCGAAGCGGAACCGATAAGGATCAATCAGGCGGCGAAGAAGAGACAACCAGCAAGCGCCGCCGTAGAAGTCGATGGGATCCACAGCCAGATTCAAACGATCAGACTGGCGGCGATACCGGAACGAAGAAAAGGAAATCACGATGGGCAGATGATGAGCCGAAACCGGTAATTCAACTTCCTGATTTCATGGGTGGGATTGAATTTGATCCTGAAATTCAGTCTTTGAATAGTAGGTTGCTTGAGATTAGTAGAATGTTGCAATCTGGTTTGCCTTTAGATGATCGCCCTGAAGGTGCGAGATCTCCTTCACCTGAACCTATATATGATAATATGGGAATTAGGATTAATACTAGAGAGTATCGTGCACGTGAGAGATTACAAAAGGAGAGACAAGAGATTATATCTCAGATTATTAAGAAAAATCCAGCATTTAAGCCACCTGCAGATTATAGACCACCAAAGCTTCAAAAGAAGCTTTATATACCAATGAAGGAATACCCTGGTTATAATTTCATAGGGCTTATTATTGGTCCTAGGGGTAATACTCAGAAACGGATGGAGAAAGAAACTGGTGCTAAAATTGTGATTCGCGGTAAAGGGTCTGTGAAAGAAGGTAGGCTGCAACAGAAGAGGGATTTAAAACCGGATCCGTCCGAGAATGAAGATTTGCATGTTTTGGTGGAGGCTGATACTGCGGATGCGCTTGAAGCTGCGGCTGGTATGGTGGAGAAACTCTTGCAGCCTGTGGATGAGGTTTTGAATGAGCATAAGAGGCAACAACTTAGGGAACTCGCTGCTTTAAATGGAACCATTAGGGATGAAGAGTATTGTCGGCTGTGTGGTGAACCTGGTCATCGTCAATATGCATGTCCTACGAGGACTTCAACATTTAAGAGTGAGGTTGTATGTAAGCACTGTGGGGATGGTGGTCATCCTAGCATAGATTGTCCAGTGAAGGGTGCTACGGGGAAAAAGATGGATGACGAGTATCAGAATTTCTTGGCTGAGTTGGGTGGTACTGTTCCTGAATCTGCAACAAAACAAACTAGCACTTTGGCAATTGGGGCCGGCAGTTCTGGAAGCAATCCACCTTGGGCTAACAACTCTGGTTCGGCTGGTAGTACACCACACCCTGGCTTAGGGTCTGGTGCACTTAAAAAGGAAATTGATGATACAAATTTGTACATTGGATATTTGCCGCCTACTCTTGAGGATGATGGTCTGATCCAATTGTTTCAACAATTTGGTGAGATTGTTATGGCCAAAGTTATTAAAGATCGAATGACAGGGTTGAGTAAAGGATACGGGTTTGTGAAGTATGCTGATATCACAATGGCAAACAATGCAATTGTTGCTATGAATGGTTATCGTCTCGAGGGCCGAACCATTGCAGTGAGAGTGGCTGGTAAGCCTCCTCAGCCCGTTGTGCCTCCTGGCCCACCTGCGTCGGCTGTGCCCACTTATCCTGTTCCAAGCCAGCCACTTGGCGCCTATCCATCCCAACAATATACTGGCGGTGGTCCACTTGGGAGTGCTCCTCCTCCTCCTCCTGGGAGTTACGGTGGTACCCCAGTCCCATGGGGACCTCCTATTCCTCAATACAATCCTTATGCTCCTCCTCCACCTGGGTCAACTATGTATCCTCCTATGCAAGGTCACCCTATGCCTCCTTATGGTGTTCAATATCCACCCATGCCGACAGGTCCCCCTGGTGCCACGACCCAGCCTGCAACTTCGGGTGAAATGCAGAATTACCCTCCTGGAGTGCAGTCTGATAACAACACATCCACTCAGTCTGTACCTACCAACATGTATGGGAACACAGTACCTTCAATGCCACCAGCAGCTCCACCAACATATCCTGCATCTTATGGATATCCTCCTCCACCTTACTACAATGCAGTTCCTCCACCACCTCCTCCTCCTGCCCCTACAGACCAATCCCACAACATTGTAAACCCTCCTTGGGCTAGCAACCATTCTGCTCCACCTCCTCCTTCATCTGCAGATCAATCCCAAAGCATTGGAAATGCAGCTATTCCACCTCCCAACTCATCGGCAGAGAAGACATCATATGGAGCTGATTCAGAGTATGAGAAATTCATGGCAGAGATGAAGTGATTTAGGTTCATTTTTGAAAGGTATGTTTGTGATCTCTTGATATGTCCACCACATAATTTAGAATCCAATTTCTGACTTGTTTTGTCATAAAGAAAGATCAGTTTTTCATTTATTTAATTGATTAATTTAAAACCTTTTACAGTTGTTGGACTTGCATTTCTTTTTCAGAGGTAAAGTTACCGTCCTTGCATATAAGTGCCAGTTTTAGACATTTTCAAACCCATGAGCATCCATGAAACTTACCTTTTGTGTGCTTAAGTGCATAGTTTGATGCTGCTGTTACACATCTGAGTAGGATTTTTTAGATGCAACTTGATGGTTATTGTTTTTCTGATCTGTGTTTTGTTCATTTGTACAGTATTAAATTTATAGCTTAGTGGGTGCTATTTTGGATAATAAGTTTTTTTATCAGCTATATATATGTTTTTTTTTGCCTGTGAGTGTGTTTTATTATCAGCTATATATGTTTTTGTTGCCTGTGAGTATGTTTTTCTGCAAATAAGAGGCAATGTTTGCTGCTGTAACTCCTCTACTGCCTATATTAAGCTACTTTAGTTGTATTAAAAAATATAACTAAGTGCATAGTTTGATGCTGCTGTTACACATCTGAGTAGGATTTTTTAGATGCAACTTGATGGTTATTGTATTTCTGATCTGTGTTTTGTTCATTTGTACAGTATTAAATTTATAGCTTAGTGGGTGCTATTTTGGATAATAAGTTTTTTTATCAGCTATATATATGTTTTTTTGTGCCTGTGAGTGTGTTTTATTATCAGCTATATATGTTTTTTTTGCCTGTGAGTATGTTTTTCTGCAAATAAGAGGCAACGTTTGCTGCTGTAACTCGTCTACTGCCTATATTAAGCTACTTTAGTTGTATTAAAAAATATAAAATTTCTGTGTTACCTTTCTTTCACTTGAATTCCACTCTGTCTTTTGTACAACTGAAGGACTCTTACAGAAGAATGGGCAAACTTTTATGACTGTGAGTATATTCGACATTGGCGCAAACTGTTCCTTAATTTATTATCCCCAGTGTGTTGGTGTCTGCTCACCTTCCTAATTTTATAGTGTCAGTTTCAGTTTTATGGTTCAGATATAAAATTCCCCAGATGAACTAAAAAGATGGAACCTCTAGTTTGTGTTTGATTTATTGATATCCATATGATAATAATGTGTGTGTATTTGAATGCAACATGTTAAAGATTATGTCCCTGAATTTCATTTCTAATACTTGAATATCTGTCTCTGTTTCTTCACTCGACGGTGTCTATTCTCAGTCATTATGCATAAAATCAGCACTGGCCTTATGTATGTTTACTTTATATTTTATCATGATTTTACGTTTCTTAACCCTTCATTGTTATGATGTAACGTTGTGACAGGCCTGATGTTTCTTGGAGCTCTTGTGAACCTGATTTCCTAACCTCTTGCCATGTCTTTCTTGGAAGTTTGGGACTCACATCTTTAACCTTGCTGTACTGTTATGAAATTTGCAGAGAATTCGAGTTGGAAGTTGAGAAGCAATCTTCATATATCTGGGGGCATCATCAAAAGCTTACTATTGTTATGATGATTAATCTTTTTTTATTGTGTAGGACATAATACTCTGCATTATTTTCTGTGGCATTTATTTTTTCACACAGTAATGTCTGGTTGCTAATGTTTCTTTTTGAAAGTCTGTTTGAACTTTTATGGCAGCTGGTACCTGGTGTTTTTTTATTTATGTTCTTCTATTGTCACTTTCAGTTGATTTTGTTTGTTCAAAACTGATTCTAACTTTTGGTGATGAGCTTAAATCTTTTGTTTGAGGACTAATTCTCTCATTCTCTTTATTGTTTGATGCTGAAGCTGCCTTTTTGATGCCTTTAAACACACATCTCATCCCGAAGGTAATTTGTGCCTTGCTATTTATTTTAGGCATTTCGGGCTGGTACAAGAGATTTGGTTTTTAACAATTCGTGTGTGACAGGTAAAAGACTTCCAAATGAATTTTTGTGTCTGGCATGATAAATGTCAGACTTCAGTGGTGTTTTTTACATTTTACCTCTAATTAATTTTCTTAGCTGACAAGGTGTTATGAGCACCAAGTTATTGTATCGTGGTACAGGAAATTATCAAGTTTCTGATTTGTTTCTGAAGTGGACACCACCGATGTTTTGGGCATTTAATGAAGGCTGAGGTGAAAATAGGATAGATGTGTTGCTGGGTGAAGATAGGATGAAGATAGGATAGATGATCAAATAATTTTGAGTTGTAGAATTTTGCTACGTTTCCCTGTTAATAATACCAGCTCTTTTTTTAAATTAAAACTAACAGTTCTGTTGTATTGTGGTTAGGGGAATATTTAAGTTTTCTAATAAAATACTGGGGCCTTGCCAGTTCACAAATTGAGTCTTTAAGAGTAAGGGAAAGAATATTGCTAGGAATTCATTTTTAACACACTTTTTTCAACACATTTATTTAATTATGTTCACAAATCTCACTAAATCCACCTGGGGGTTTGAGTTAGCGGAGATTCATTTGAATTTCGGTCACTAAGGGTAAGTTTGGTCGGAGGTAAGTGGAGGGAAGAGAAAGGGAGGAAATATTTAATAGTTTATGTATTTGGTTCAAATTTTAAGAGGGGGAGGAGAGGTAGATGGAAGGGATTAAAATCTCTTTTGAATTATTTTTTTCTCACCTTCAATTTAAAAGGATTTGGTGGGGAGGGGAGGGGAGGTATTTTATTTAAATTATAATTATATTTACCTATTTATTCTTGATTATTTATTTAAATATCAATTTAATTTATTAAAATCTATTTTAAACAAATTTTATTTTATTTTTATATTTTTTGTATTTTTATATGTTCATTTTATTATTATGTGTTTAAATCCCTCGCTCCTTGCCCCTTGATAAAAATCTCTCTCATCGAACCAAACAGATCTTAAGAGAACGTGTTAGACATAATGTATTAGCTCCTTGCCCCTTGATAAAAATCTCTCTCATCGAACCAAACAGATCTTAAGAGAACGTGTTAGACATAATGTATTAGATAGTTAGTATATTCTCCAGTTTATCATTTTAAGATTTGAAGTACTGGGTTAATGTTTGTTATGGTTTTGTAGCAAATTAAAACCCTTGTCTCTATTCCAAAATCTTGTAAATTAAGCTAATGCTACAAGTATTAAATGGGTTTATCAATATAAGCGTTTTTAGTTATATAACATTATCATAAAATGTGGTTCACTCTTTTGGTAGTAAATAAGTTTTTTTCACTCTTTTTTGGTAATAAGATGTTTTCAACTTGTTTTTAATGGTCATATTAGTTCTTTATTCCTTTTTCAATTGTAGAAATGTTTATTATCATTTTAGTTTACCCACTTAGGGTATCATATAACGGTTTTTCAGCATCCAAAATATATGTCAGTACTATTTTTTTTTTAATAAATCATTAAAATATTAAAGAAAAATAAAGATAGCACAAAAAATTGAGGGCAATATTTGACTTAGTTCAACCATATCAAAAGTAGTTAGCATCTTAAATAGAATACAATTATTACAAGAATGATGCACCCATATTCATACTATTCACGTTGGTGGTATAAGTGGGTCCAAATTATTTAAACCACTTAACTATATCTTTTAAGGGTGTTGCTAACCAGTGTCTTCAGGGCACTATTTAAACATTCCATATTAAGAAATTATTAAAAAAATTCAAACACTTCAATTTCTAATGTACATTATTACACATCATTGCACATACTTTTATAAAAACTTACTATTTAAAGTTTTAAAAGTGCCTTGAGGGCACTGGTTAGCATTTCCCATCTTTTAAATATCCATACTACTTACTTAAAACCAATATATTCCATAAAAGCAACAATGTCATTTTAAAATATAGTGTCAATTTAAATCACAATAAATAGTCTTTATTATTCCTGCTACTCTAACACCAAATAGTACACATAGACTTTTATCGCTCCGACAATTATGCTCTAAGAAACTAAATAGCAAAAGAAAGGTGTTGTGTGAGTTTAAAGTTATATTCCATGAAAGCAACAATGCCATTTTAAGATACAGTGTCAATTTAAACCACAATAAATAGTCTTTATTATTCAGGCTACTCTGACACCAAATAATACACGTAGGTTTTTATCACTCCAACAATTAAGCTCTAAGAAACTAAATAGCAAAAGAAAGGTGTTGTGTGAATCTTTACAAACTTTAATTAGTGATGAGTGAATGGACAACCAACAAGAACTAATTCATGTACCATTAGCTCCTTATGAAAATCACAGCAGACATGCTAGCTCTTTCACTTGGAACCATAACAAGGAACAACGGCGACAAACAAATCAAAATCACTTCGAACAACAAGGAACAACGGCGACAAAGTTGTGAAAGAGAACAAACTCGTTGTGGTAGTGTCAACCCAAACACATTGATAACTGCAGATCTAAACATATCTGAAACAAATTAGAAATCAAAGCAAAACACACCACCACGAAAATAGAATCGATTCGGAATCGAAGAACAATTCAAATTCAGAAAGACAACAACAACGCTTCACGCGAGCAAGCTTTAACAACCTCTGGAAATCCAGCACCCATGATCAAGTGACCCAAATCCGGCGACGTGAGAAAGATAACAGTGTGAGAGGAGCAAAACAACCACTTGCCGGCGACGCTGAACGAAATCACACGGCGGTGAACAGTGGCGCGGAGGAAGGACCTCATTGCACCACCAAACAACAACATTACATGCTGAAGCTGAAGAGTTGGATTTTGGGAGAGAAAAAATGGTGGAGGCGAAAAGGGTTAGGCTGATGAGAGGAAGAGACCGTTTGCAGAAAGGGTTTACCAAATATGGATGGTTATTTTTAAAATTTCAACTCCATACTAGTACCATTTAGCAAGTAAGACAAGAATAACAGAGAATTGAAAATTGAGATGTTTCTAATAGCAACCCTTAAACTCAAGGAATTGTTGATCTTGTCTAGTTTTTATCCGATTTGA